AAAAGTCCACCCATAAACTTTGGGAACGGGCACAATCAATTGGTTCTCTGTAAGGGGTCGGAGCAAGATTGGGATCGATAGATTTTATCACATTACCAGACCTAACTGTAATGTTTTATAACTTGTACTTTATTTCAGTAAAAATATTATTATGATTAAGAATCACAATGTTGGCTAGTGATATAATTGGCTGTCAGAAACTAAATTGGATGTACAGTATTGCATAAGTATCAGGAGCGCCCAATGGCAATTAATCTTGGGATAAGGCATGAAAGATGTATTGTATTGTACAAATTGTCAAGCACCATATCAGATCACTTTCCGCAAAATCAATTTTATTTTAGTACTACTTATCTCTATAGAATTAGCCAGCGGATTTTTTATAACATATAGTTTCACATTTGTAGAGGAACAATGTGTATTTAGTTTTATAGTTTTGTTGGATGTTTGGATATCCGATATACTTTTGACGTCAAAGGTTTTTATGTGACTTATGACTTGCCGCAAATTTGTTTGTATTTGTGTTTTCACACTATTACGGAAATGTTTACGTTCTTTTGGAGCATTCCAAGTCTTAACACTAATTTCGTTACTACCTACCTAATCTCAAACGTTTGTATAGTAAAACAAAACTATTTAACAGTGATTAATGGTTAATCATTAATTAATGGTTGATTAATGGCTACTTTGCGTGCTAAAATAAGTGCAAGGAAGCCCACTTTGGCAGGCGACTGTAGGCAAATTACATTTCGTAGCTAAAGTCCAAGAGACAACGCGCTACTCAACCTATCTAGAAAAGAATTCAAAGTTCGCAAACGTTTCTTCGATAAGTATTCAGCAAATGGACCACTAGACAAACTTTACCGACAGAAAGTTTTTGAATCCCCCTTTCAAAACTTAACAGTGATTTTCCCGTCTACCGTTCTTAACGAAACTTTAATATCAGTCAATGTTTCAATAAACGAATAAAATACCTCTGGTTAATGTGCCCCAGGCTAAAGTAACACTAAGATTGTAAAGTTGTACTACTAAAGAAAGTTTTAAAAGGTTGAAAATATTAGAACAAAGAACATAACAATCTTTGCCCATACAAATTTAATAGTGTCATACTGCATTATTGATTCCATAAATTAAATTTACGATAAGTTCAATTGAGTTATTTTTCACAAAGATGAGTTGATGAAAAGAGTTATTTAACTAAAAGACAAATTACTACATAACATTTGATATGCAAGTAAAAACAATCATAACGATTTACCAGTAAGGCCAACTCCATTCCACTATAATACTGTAGACGCACCGTTATCTAGTAACTATCGGATAGACTATTTCAGCTCGGTTGATAAACATATCATTATTTTATTTCCCTAATGATTAGCCAGTAAATCTTTTGTTAAACTTTTGTTGAAGAAGATCAATGCAAATAAGCAAAACACTTTGTTAAATGTCAACAAAGCAACTATACTATTAGTATTAGTATTAACAGTTTATGAGCTAATTCAAAACAACTATTTTCTTGCTAGCTTTAACTCTTTATTATTAACTAGGCAACTAATAAACGTAGTGTTAAAGATGCCAACCCCGAAAATATTATATTGAATTTATATTTTTAGCCTGTGTAATCATATTCAACCCTTTGCCTACCATCTGTTACACTGCCTTGACAACACTTTCCATCATTTTGGACCGTTTTAGCTGTGAGTTGTAAACCGACAAATGTCCGATTGTGTCTCCGCGGTGGCAAAACAAGTCATAAACTATAACAGAGTCAGCAGTCAGAAGTGAATGCTGTATAATTATACATGTCGACACAGACTATTGCGTGCGTTGTACAGCGGTGCGGTACTTCGGTACTTGGCGGTACTGGTGTGTACCTACCCAGTTACCCTGTGTACAGTGTACAGATTAACACACAGAATCTCTTCGGCATGTTCAACAAAGTTTCAACAATCGTACCATCATAACTTGGAATTAATTTTAAGGGGAACCAATCATATAGCTTTAATGGTATCTTCGACTATTATAAGTGTTCAATTCCCATGTAGCCAATTTTTGAATCTAAATTTTGAGAACGTGAAATAGTAAATTTGAAATCAGATGGAATTTTAGCCCAAATGGTAAACTCTAAGCTTATAGTACCAATCACAAGCTTTTTTCAATGATTTAAGCAACTGATTTTGGATTAAAGAGACAAATTTTAGTAATTTAACAGCGAGCTCGGAATTCTCGTTGTTGGTATTACATGGAATTACCACGGACAACAGAAACCTTAAAGTAACAGACATTAAAGTATTATATTGTCTGTGGTATTACTGTGCAACGGAGTTTGTGGTTTTATGTAAATTTATAGCATGACACATAAATTTACTATAACAGTACACAATTGTTGTAATTTTGTAGTATACACGACACAAAGTAAACGTCTAAAGCATAAAACAGACATTTTAAGTTGATAAAGCATAAAGCAGACATTTTAAGTTGATATTTTGAGTTCAGTAGGGCTCCTGTATTAAAATGTTTTGGTAATTCTAATTATAGATCGAAATTATTGTAATCGATATTTTAATTTACAGCACTTATTCGAAGTACAGTCATGAGAATAGACTACAAAACTTAAAATTGTTGTAAAGTAAAGTCAAAAGTCTCTCATGCTTTCCCATCAGAAGCAGAGCGGTATGAATGTGAATTGTTAATCGCGCTGCACCGTTGGGAACGCAGTGTAGCGGTGTGTGGCTGTGTGGCCCACTAGTGGAATTAATGGTTGCGCCTGCAGACAGCAGATACCGACCTACAACCGCAACACACGCATGTACTGCGGGCTGCCTGTCACACAGCGCGGCGCTGCCACTGTGTGCGTTTGATTTTCACCATCGCTATTTTTACGTTTTATTGTACGTTGTACGCAAAACTGTCCAATGTCCAATCCTTGGTCTTGTAACTATCTAACATCGACCTTTAGCGCTGTTATTCAGTGTCGTAATACAGTCTTCGATAATTCTTCAGGTTGGATTGTAAATTTTCATTGTATTGATTGAAATGGTTGTACAATTTGTACGAATTTACAGTAAACTACCGAGATTACTAAAACGTAAATACTTTTTAATATAATAGATTAACTATACCACATCGAGAAATTTAACTAAAATAAACCACTGGCACAAAAATAAACTTTCACTATCTAAAAAAAATACATCAAAAGTTATTTAATGTAAATTAGAAGGAATTTCGTTCTAAATGTAAATCAGCGCACACGTGCTGTACTTTGAGACAGTCTGAGGTACAAAGGTCTACTGGTGTCAACAAGAAAATACTCCACCGTGTTGCAAATCAAAACAAACAACATACTAGTTGAATGACTTTATAATAATGTCTCATTAGTGGTAATGGAAACTGGACAGCAATGTGCAATATAATACATTTGTATAGCTCACGAGTGGTGTTATGTTATGCAGTTAACGATATTGTTGCTTTGTAATTATTTTTTGTACATAAATATAATTTTTGTTTATTTTTAACAAGTAAACTATTGTGCATGTCCGAGGAAAATGGTAATTACACTGAGTCGGATGAACCTTTCAACATGTAGATAGGTTGTTTTTACTTTCTATGGATAAAGTATTGTTTTCGTTGAATTGAGTTGAGGTATCCGTTTTGGGCCCCCCTCAACCCAAAGAGGTGGTTTTCGAATTGACGTATGTCCGTGTGAATGTCTGTTCGTCTGTATGTGTGGATGTGTACAGAGCTACATACCACACCTGTAGTCCAATTTTGATGAAATTTAGTATGTAGGTACTAATCCATGGTAACACCAGTTTTTCACTTTTTTGAAATTTTAATTTTTAATGGTGATTTTCCCACAAAACCCCATAATATAACGGGAAAATAAAACTTTCTCGAAAATGGCCCAAACTCTTATAGTAAAAATTTAGGATGTTATAACCCTTTAAATTCTGAACAAAATGGTATAAATTTCATTTCTGTACAAATTTCGGTTTAAAAGTTATTGTAACTTATGCTATTTTTCCATAAAACCCCATAAAATAACAGAAAATCAGATTTTCGAAAAGAAATCGGAAAACAATTTTATCCTATCCTTACAACTCTAAACAAAATAGTGCAACCCATCATTGCTGAAAAAATTACAGTTCAAAAGTCATAGCAACATTCGTGATTTTCCCTACAAAAATCATAGTTACTCCATCCCATGATAAAGGTTGTTTGGGAGAATGTATGTGCTGTTTGTAGCTGTAGTACTCTTTATCACAATAAATGTACTGAAAGATAAGGAAACGAGCCTGTACTTATGATATACTAGCTGTAACCCGCGGGCATTGCCCCGTTTAACTTCTTAATTTTCAAGATTATCTCGTTCGCATGGCTCAATCACGTCCTGGTTGAAGTTTGTTCGCTACGCTCACTCACCTTTGGGTTGGAGCTCGTTCGCTACGCTCACTCACCGTTAGGTTGGAGCTCGTTCGCTGCGCTCACTTGCCTTCAGGTTAGCTCGTTCGCTACGCTAACTCGCCTCCAGGTTGAAGTTCGTTCGCTACGCTCACTCACCTTTTGGTTGCAAATTAGCTGTTGTCATAAATGTAAAAGAAATAATAGTGCTGCACCCTGTTGGTAATCCTTGTAACTTTAATGCTATTGAACATCAAAGAACAGAACCAACTTGTTTAATTGAAACAGCTGCTGTTAAGATTCAATAATTCCATTTCTCATAAGGTTAACATGGGAAACTCCAGAGCCACTGGGGCGGAGCCCGAAAGGATTTTTGAAATAAGAATATGCCTATATGTTAATCGGGAATGTGAGCAATCATCATGCCAAATTTCAGCCCAATCCGACCAGTATTTTTCGCGTTCACTTGTCACAAACATACATCCATCCATACATCCATACATCTAAACTTTCTCATTTATAATATTAGTAGGATTTACCCATTAAAGTAAGTATAAGCAAATATGAACTCTATAAATAAATCAGAGATCACAACTTACCACTGTCAGACTATCTAGCTCGCCCAGCCAAGCGTTCAGGAGCTTCTCAGGATTGTCAGGATCAGATTCAGGATCAGAGTCGACCTCCGAGTTGTACGACGAGTCCTCCTGACTCTCCATCCTGTCCTGAAAAATAATCAGAATTCGTTATCATGTAAACAACAAAATGCAGTACGTGGAATGTTTTAAATTTGAAAATTGTAAATTGAGGTAGCGTACTATCCTCTCTGTTCTGTAATACTATTGAAATCCAACTAATCCATAACTTCTATGTCGAATGTATATTTATCAACGTTTTAAGATGTTCAAGTTTTATTCTGTAGATTAACGGGTTGTAATTGTGCAAGGAACAGGCTGCGAAACAACTCGAAAATCAGAGTACAATAGTACAGAATTATTCAACCCCAGTGCAAAGAATTAATTCGTCTTTTGTGTGAGTAGGCGAGTAGGTAAGTATTTAAATTGATATTTACGACCAAACTAATTGGTTTTCAATTCTATGCACCACTTAAACAGTCGTAATAGCTATTAGCATTAAGGACCATAAAATTATGGTTTCAGATAATGGAATCAGGATATAAAATTGTGTTTAACTGCCGCGAGCTATAGGAATGCAGTAGAGATTTGAAGCGGTATATCAATAAATCCATTCCATTCCATACACGATTAGCATTTCATTTAACTCTGAACGATTCTTTGATAAAGTGCATTTAGTTTTTGCTTGTAAAAATCAAACATGATTGTTATCAACAGATACTTTCAGATAATTGGCAATTGTTACCAGCGGTTTTATGGCTTTCAGATACTAGACAGATGGTTTGTTTTAAGATAATCTTAATTGCTCAAAGAAATTCATCAGTAGCTTTAGAAGTGTAACCTGTGTAACAGTATCTTTTAGAAGCTGCAAAGTGTTGAAAAAAATTAACCAATACATATCATAAAAATTGGGTAATCATAGCGTTGACCGGACCTCAGAGATGTACAGGGAATTTGTAAAGATTCCAGGTGATTTTAGGCATAAGCAAAGACAACTAGGCAAAGCAACAAAAAATAGGTAATGAGTTTAACACGAGCCTAGCAAGTTGAAAAGAATTTTTAGAATAATTACAGAGAAATGTATTGTTAAAAGAGATTTTGCACATTTCATTTAAATAGAAAAAATCCCTCGTCGGAAAGCACGTGCATACCTCGTAATAGCTACATAGAATTATTGCACGAACGTCAAACAGAATAGTGGGTGTCTTCCGTGATATTCAAATTTTGAAACCATTGAACCATGTTGTCGTCACCTTGAAAAGCGAGATGTGCTAACAGCTGTAAACAGTTAGCTAACTTATTGTCTGTTGTTGTGTTAATGTACCACCCACAAGCTAACTGGCAAACCGAGCTTGCCATTGGTCGTGTACTGTTCGGCGATTTGTCAATCAAATTGTGACTCAAGTATACCCTTGATGTGAAACATAAATCTGAATATTGGTATTTTCACACATCCAACGATGGTAAATGTAGGGGCAGTAACAATAAGTCGTATTGATGAAGCTTAAGATTGGCTTGATTTTCAAATTATTTATATGTATAGTTAAATTGTCATGTAATTTAAGATGTTCTCTATATTAATTTTTTAAGTATCCAAACCTTAGAGTCATTAATTTTAACACAAAAGTGAGACATGGACCAAACAATCATTATAGAGCTTGAGCCAAATAAATACCAAAGTAAAAACTGGTGCATGTAAGCTGAGGTTGAGAGAGATTAAGGCAAGGGTTGTAAAAGAGGATGAGGGGTAGCGCGGTATTATAAGCACTCAAGCTGTGATAAGGGCTTATCATAATTGTTTGTACGGAGATAGCTGTGCAGCCTCCAAAGTTGATTTTATAATGCCGCAACAGCATTAGTGTTGCTCATACAACGTTAGACATGATCATGCAGTATTAGTATGCTAAGACAACATCAGTGTTACTCGGACAGCACAAATCTTGCTTGCTACGACAACATTTAACATGATCAAAAAACATTAGTGTTCCTCAGAGAGCATTAGTGATTGAACAACATTAGACAAGTGTATACAGCATCATTAAAATGTTGCCCAAACAACACTTATCTTGCTACGACAACATTGGTCATTATCATACAGCACTACTGCTGAGACAGCATTGTAGTCAGAATCACAGTAAACGACAAGTCTCCGTTGAATCATTTACATCAACACTTTATACAATAACACAAGTCCTTTGAGGTTGACGCACTTTAGCATTAACCATCCTTTGTAAGATGCTTTGTTCAAAATGAGATTTGGGACTTCTCTTCCTTTGTTGTCACCTAATAACAATGCTTGGTAAAATCCTACTTTGACTTTGGACGGTACAGAACGTTTTAACTAAACGTCAGGGTCAGACAACCTTTTTGTCTTTGTGATTAAATTTTCATTTGAAAAGAAATGCCAACCTTTTAAAGAATCTATGCCAACATTGACTAAAATGTTTATTTTACAAAAATGAAAAAGAAATTGATGGATTTTAAGTTACACTATACAAAAACCAAATTTTACCTCCATCCACTTCAATTGGGGGTGAGTTGGCCTATTTAACAAAGTTTTAAATACTCTTTACGTTAATGTTAAACAAATTCAAACCCGTTGAGTATCAAAACCGATCATGATCCCTTCATTGACTTATACTTATCAACTATTGATGCTAATAAGTTAACCTTGTGCAGTAAGTAAACTGCAAGGGAGAGGCGTTACATGGAGTGCAGTACAGGCTGTATATTGTTTGATGTATAGATGGACAAGTAAAGGCTGTATACAAGGTCGATGGAAGGCCGTTCAAGTTTGCTCACTCTCGATTGTTATAATGTTATCACTGCCACATTATATAACGTACTACATATTTCCATGGCCTTTACAATGCATGAATGATACAGACGTTTCTTTCGTAGTGGCATATGGACATATTCTTTCGTGGTGGCGTGGAGGGACATATTCTTTTCGTCTTGCCAAGTACACCTGAACAGTTAGGTAAGAGACCCGAGTAGTTAGGTAAGAACTACGGAATCCAGTAGGACTTTTTCGAGTTGATTTCCTTACCCAGGAATTTTCTGGACTCATAAGTTATTTTCGGGGGGTGAAACAAAACTAAATTTCGATACAGGGAGTTGTATTGCGTTTCACGCTCCCTGTTTCAAAATATAGAAAGGCGAGCGATGTTAGAGCAATAATCTGCTCTTTTCATCTTTCAAAGTTAAAACTCCATCGGCTGCGTACATAATTTCATTGCATACAATGTGCATGGTTAAACGACACATTTTCTAATTCGCACTACAATTTGAACCTTATCAAGGACTGAAGATATAGACCTACCTTCTACAAAAAATGGCATGGTAGTTCTCTAGAATACCAACGTAAACTAACTTTCCGAGACCGGTAACATGTTGTATAAGTTCTTTGCATTCAACTTGTGATGGTATAACTAATATATTTGGGGGTTTACATATTTAGAATACAAAAATTTGATATATTCCGGAATATGTCAATGTCGTTTCGTCCAATCCAAGGAACTCTTTGAACAGAAGTAAAATGTAAAATACGTCAATGACTCACCATGGTTCACCATTTAATAGATTCAAACTGTTATTTTGAACTAATCTTTGACTTAGCCTGGAGAGAGACAAAGAGATCGCATAGTGGAAGGGGGTGGTATAGAGACGACGAGGAGAGGTTCGCGATGTCGCTGATACTTGAGTAGTTAGGTTGTGGTTAACCATCAAGACTCCGTCTACTCATTCTGTGCTTATAGGTACAGGTAAAACTTAAATGTGTCATCTAGAAACAACACACACTTGTATATAATCAATTTTAATTGGAACTTTAAAGCAATGTTCTGATACTGTTCTCTATATTTTATAGTTCTGCGTAATCTCGTGTTTTAAAATCTTAAACTACAGGTTAAAGTAACAATAGAAAATCGTATAAAATTGATTCTCATGTCTAAACTTCACGAATGTATGTCCCAGACGTTTGCTTACTTTGTGAAGGCGATTGACAAACATTGACTTTTGAACATTGAAGAAGACACACCTCCTACATGGATCAGCTGTAGCAACTCTTATTATAACACGTTTTTATTGAACCCCTCAAGGAGTGCGATATTTACGATATTTCTCCCTTAATTTCGGATACTTTGATATTTGGTTCAATATGGCATAGACCTACCAGTTATATGATTAAAAAAATGGTGTATCCGACAGAAATCGGTAATTTATATCATTGCACTGTCAGAGGACCGTCCCAACTACGTTCATTTTTATTCAACAAATCATTTAATTTCATTTATTCTATAACTGTTGTTAGAGCTTTAACATGAGATTGGGACATCTAACTCTATCAATTCTCTTTGTTATACGTTCTGAATGTCTGAGATATCGTTATACTACAACATCTGTTACAACGCTACTTCAGCAGGATCAGCGGTTAACGGACGCCACGCCGCCAGCGTTCCATCTGCGTGCTAACTGCTGACGTCTTTGGCCAATTAATAGCCGGAAACCAAAAAACACGCTACCACGGCCTGGTCTGACCGGCAACATCCGTGCCACAAATCACCATACGAGACCAATTAAATAGATGCGAAACAAATCAGAACTTTTTGTCACTCTGCCAGAATGTATCAAAAGTGTTGTTTCTCGTAGTTGCTCACCGTTATTAAAAATCTATTAAAGTAACTAGAGTAGCAAAAAAGTTAAGTTTCGTGTTGACCAATTTAATTTCAATATTAGATAACTTTATATTTTTACACCAAGAAATGTTTTTATTTACAGGATAAGCAGTTGTGCAGGAATGTTTTTAAAGTACTAAAGGCATACTGAAGTTTTGAAAAATTTGATTTGATCATTCGATAGTAACCTAATTAAGTCTCGATCGTACATTCATGGATTGTGACAATGAGGAATAAACGGTTCTACCTGAATGTTTTAAGTATATTCAACGGGTTTTGACAACTTATTGCACTTCATCATTCCAAGTGCATGGAAATGTTTTGATTATCAAGATGAGTATTTGTACGGAAATATTTTAAAATCTATAGATCACGTTAAAACATTAACCATTTTATCGAATTCATAAAACAATC